AGGTAAGAGGATGAAACAAACACATCTTTGGTTTGTTGTTTAAAAACAAATACAAACTAAACATACGGTATAAAACAATCAGTAAATATTTATGTAGGTGGGTTGTGACTGAGACAGTGACTCTATTTATCAAGAAAAACAGTAACCTAACTCATCTTTCCTCTAATGAAAAAAAAGAACAAATGCTTCTATTTTTGCATCACATACAAATTTTAAATTCCAAAGGATAGAGCTGGATGTTATTTTCCCAGTGTTTAGGCAAGGACAAACTGCAGGAAAGTGTGAAAGTGCTCTCTTTTGTCTGGTGGTCTTTCTAACCTTCCCTGTTAGACGAGGAAATGTGAAGTGTAACCCAGGGCCCTAAGACATCTTAGAGAGTAGTTCAGAGTCTGCTCCTGGTTCTAAATCTGAGCAACTGATTTAATTTCCAGTGCTACTTCCCACTCCAAAGTACACTTTAGCGCCAAGAAGATTGCAGTCATTGAAGCAGATTGCTTTTCTCATCGCCGGGGAAGTTACTGCTCTTTAACGTTCATATTTGCCTAGTGAGATCTAAAATCAGACGGCTGTTTCTACCCACCATCACTGGCTTGCTGTCTCTTGACTGCAGTGATCTTAAGCATCTTCAATTTTAGTCTCTGAAAGAAAAATCTTTAATTTCAGAAATACTGGGGATGATAGAATGAAACTGGGATATCATTGTTCTAGCAGTCTCAGATAACAAATGTTTCATCTGTTGCTAAATGTGAGCTATTTTCCTTCTGGCAAAATTCAGGCAGATTCCCCTCCCCTCCCAGACTTCATCTCCACTATTTCCCCCCGAGAATCTGCTGCACAGCAGCCACCATAACTGTAAATGCTCATGCTTTTTTAAATGGCTGTAGCAAATCTGTAAAAATGCACACAACAACAGCTGGAAAAGGAATCTGCCCCTTCAGAGCCAAGATAATTCTTGGAGCCAACAGATTTCTTCCACGTAGAACAGATAGTGATGACAACTTCAGTATCATTCTTGAATCTTGCAAAAAAGACTTTTCCACTAACAATTCAGTATAGTATATTCTTTATCAAGTTGCCAGAATGCTGGATTCCTCAAATTGGATAACAAATCCTGGAAGATCTACTCAGAGGAAGTACATAAGCTAGTGCACAACACCTATCAAATGCACGAAATGCATTTAATTACATGCTAATTAGATTTGAGGAGTACAATATGACAGTGAGAAGAAGCCTTGAAAGGGCAACAGTCAGCAGACTCATTCTGAGCAAGGAAAGCTTTGTTTAAAGAAAAGAAACCCCCTTCACACCAAAAGTGGGAAAGCATGAGACTTGGGGTTCAGGAAGGCTGCAGTCTGCCCTCAGAGATGTGCTCAACTGGAAAGGCCACGATCCCAAACAGCCTCACTGAGCTGTGAAGTTGGCTTTGAGTAGGGAGTGGGGCTGTGCGACCTCCTGAGGTCCCATCTAGATTGTTCTCTGACTCTGGGATGCTGCATCCCAGCTGTTCTCAAAAAAACAAAAAGCTGCCAGACGCACGGCTTCATTTTGGAAAGGAACTAAAAGTGAAGATACAAAGCCTCCAAGGAGACAAAATAAATCAAACTATCTTTGGGTCCCACAGTGACAGCAAAATGCCCCCTGGGAGCAACTTCCTCTGCAGTTCCCCATTAGCTTCCCCACACTTGTATCAAAAAAGACAGCAGGGAAAGAGGAGCTGTCTCTATGACACTCCTGCAGAAGGTGGCTCAGTGCTGCTGCTTGACTCTCAGGTTGACATTCTTAAGAGATGTTTTTAAAACATCACCTTTTGCAGCACTTCAGAAACTTCAGAAAGCCAAATCCAGCTGTGTTGGAGGAATGCAGTAGGGTGACTGCACCATACACAGCAAACACTCCCTAAGAGGGCAGTAGAATACATGAATGTGCAACCTAAGCCTTTCTTTGAAGCAAGACTGAATGAAGATCACAAGCCATCACTGCTTGCAGGTATTCTGTCTGCTTTGAGTGCTGATTACAAACTTATTTTTTGCCATGTAATGCTCCTGATTTTTGTTAAAAATAAATCCTGGATCAGATTTACATTACTATCATTGCTTCTGCAGTGCTTTCAGGGAAGGTGACAAGGTAAGTTCGGCCTTGTCCTATTCCTCCCATTTATTCAGTGCATGCCATAATTCTCTCCCTTGTTTTCCCCCTTATTAGGCTTTTCTTCTGGCATTCAAAACTTGTATGACTCTTCTTTTATGCTCCCGGTTGGTAAGGCAGCATGCCAGCTGGGAGTGTTTGATCTGTGCATACAACTTTGAGCCAGCTGTCATAGGTGACTGCTCTTTTCACCAGGCTCAGGAGCAAAACAGCATTTTGGGAACACCGTGGGCAGAGATACTGTAAAAATGTTAACAAGTCTAGGGACATAAAATCAATGGAGGAATTACTCTCTGTTCCTGGACCTGCTTTCAGTAAAACTGAGCTGATAAAATACTTACTCATTGGGCACAAAAACTTGCTTAAACTAGGAAGTTATTATAAGCATTGTATTTAAAACAAAAATGCATTCCAATGACCTGTAATGCAGATTTCAGTGGAAAGCTTGTGAAGAAAGCTTGAGAGTAACTGCTGCAGCACTTAAGCTGCAGTGAAATACACAGCTCTATTGATCCTGCAGTGCAGAATTACCCACTGTTGGCCACAGACAAAGCAAACAAGAAATGATGTGTGTTGTTAAACTCACATGGTAAACCTTTCAGGGTGAGATTTCACAGTTTTGGGAGTAGCTACAAGCAATTGCTTTTCTATCAACACTTGATGTAAATATGAAACAGTGAACAATCTGCTTTTATACTCACATTTTCTTTAAAATCAGCAAAATGGACAGTTGCTCAAAGTGCATGAAAAGGTTTTAGCAGCACCAATGTGAAGGAAAAAAGAAACCACATAACTTTCCAGTCAGCCTGCAACACGTAGCTCCTGGCGCACCAGCTCACTCATATCAGTTTAGGACCAAAATGTCAGCCAAGTTTTACTATTTCATCCTTCATTTGTGGGATTGACTTGAGGCTAAAGCCAAATTCTCACACAGTATTTTAAAATTCAAGTTTTATTGTATTTTATTTTATTTTTAATATCTGTGCTATGAGCAGGGTATAAGATAGGGAGCCACAGACCCAGTATCAGCTCTTTTAGCCTTAAAGCAGGAAAAAAAAAGAAAAAAACAAGGGGGGGATTGATAAGATAAACAGGGTGGCTACAACACTAGCCGTGCAATTTCACAGCATGTTATGGGGAATTGAACTAATGGTCACAAGATGTTCTGAAGACCAAGACTGCCACATGCTAATTAATTTGAGAGTTTTTTTCCTCCATAGACAACTATAGGAAGAGACTTCTTCAGATACGAAACAGGAATCCACCCTCCAAAAACCATATTGGGAATAGGAGGCAATCAGTTGTGACTTCATCCCAATCTATTTCTGCATGCCTACTCATCAGCTATCACTTAAACAGACCCAGGCATGGGTCTATCTTCCCACAGCCTTATACCTTCTGATGGAGAAAGAAGATGCCTTAATTGTACCTTCTTACACAGTCTTTAGGAACATTTCTAATCTCAGATGCTTCATAGTCACTCTTGCTGCAAGTAGAAAATTATGTAAATGGTGGCTGTTACAGTATTCTGCCAATCTATTTCTATCCATGTGCTACTGTTAAAAAATTACTCATCTTCCATTGCATACAGTGAAATATTTTATGTACAGTGGTGCCTGTCATATATGCTTAACTTGCTTTTCATTCCAAAACGTGGTGCAAAGAGAAAATTATGTGCATTTCTAGAGAAATAAATATCAAAAAAGTCACTCCGAACATCAATCAATGAGAATTTGAATATTCTGTACTTTCAACTGCTGCTGTGGGAGAGGTGTATATTGAAGGATGGCACAGCTGATGTCTTCTCAGCTGGTTTCCACACACGGGGTCATCAGGCAGTACTTCCCACTTTCCTGTATCCCAGATATGCCTTTTGAGTCTTCTGGGAAATAAGCACAGACATTTTCCTTTGTTTTCTCTGCTCATTTCACCACACATCTGTAAACAACCTAACGTTGTTGGGTAAAGACATAAATATGGTAAAAGACCTAGGTTTTGTTATAGCCATGAATGGAATGCTGGTTGCAGTACCTCACAGGTGAATGTCTGCTGCCAGCACCACAGCAAAGCGGGCATCCTGGCCACACGATGATTAAAAAGCCATGAGAGCACATGCATCTGTAAGCAGAGAAGACAAAGGAAATCTAAACCTTGTTGAATTTATGTACTTTCTGCATTCCGAAATCATGGAATAGCTTGGGTTGGAAAAGACTTTAAAGATAGTCTAGCTCCAACCCTCTGCTGTGAAAAATGCGTACAACGAAGGCTTGCTCAAAGCATCGTGAAGCTTATGCAAAAGTGAACGCTGACTCAGAGATGTGGAACGCGGATAGGTTTGGATGTAACACACAGGAGGCCGCAGCTCCCTTCCGGGCAGGGCCGCGTGCCCCAGCAGCCTCCACAGCCCTAGTGTTCCCCAGCATAAGGCAGAGGACCACAGCCTGAGGTCCGGATTTGGGCTGGTGATGACAAAACTGCGGAGCGTTTTGGGGAGACGGAAAGCCCTTTCCCGGGGTGAGGGCACGGCTCCGCCACAACCACCATGCCCACACCATGCCCACACCGCGTCCACACCATGCCCACACCATGCCCACACCGCGCCCCGCTGCCGCCCGCCCCTCAGCGGGGCGTGGCCTCGCCTCACGCACGGCGCGGGTGAGAGAGGGAGGGGGCGGCGCTGCGCCACCGTCGCGTTCGCGCCTTCCCGCCCCTGCGCGCGCGCAACGCCCCGTTCTTCTTCCTCCCCGCTCTGCGCTCCCTCAGCCGCCGCCGAACCTCCGCGTCACGTGACCTCCTTGCCCTCCGCGGCAGCCAATGGGATGTGCGTCGCGGGCGGCAGGGCCTTTATAAGGCGGCGCGCAACACAGCGGCCGCGGCATTGAAGTGGTGGTGGCGGGGGGTGTGCTCGTCCGGCAGGGCGGTTCCCGCAGTCGCTTCCCGGGGTGCCCGGGCTGAGGATCTCAGGAAGGGGCCAGGTCTGTGTCTGCGCGGGAGGAAGGAGGGGCTCCTCGGAGGGTTGCGGCAGGGAGGAAGGGGGCTTGAAGGGGCGGCCATGTCGCGCCCGCGCGGCGCCTCGGGGGGTAGCGGTCTCCGCCGCGGCGACGCCCAGCGCTGGCGGGGCGGGGCAGGCAGGGAGCGGCGTCTCGCCCCCGCCGGAAGGAGAGCGGAGCCCGGCGGGCGGGGTGAGGGATCTGTGTGTCCGCAGTCCGGCTGCGTATGTGCGTGCCTCCTCTCTGCGCCCCTCCGCAGCGCCGGAGCTGTCTGTCTGTCTGTCCGTCCGTCCTCTCTAACGAACTCTCTGCCTTGCTTCTCCCCCCCTTCCCCCGGGCTTCTGCTTTGTGGATGTTGGCGGCTTCTTGTTGTGACAGGAGAATGTGTGTGTGCCCCGGGCCCAGGCGCATCGGTACGTATCTCGCAGCGGGGCTCGCGGGGGGCGGAGGGGCCGGGCGGGGCGGAGGGCCGAGCCCCGGCACGAGGGAGGGCTCAGCGCTCCTGGCCTGTGTTCCTTCTACCCCGTGTCGCCAGCGTTGTCAGGTGCCCGAAAGCCACCGGTGTCGTTGCACAGCTCATGCGGGTGCTGGAGAAGCCTGTCGGTGGCATCAAGTGTCCTTAGCGTTGTATAGCCATAATGCTTCGCCTTAAAGCAAGGAATTGTGTGTTTGTTTCATCAGGGTAGCACTACTGAGTCCTTAAATTACCCAACTCTTTATTTACGGTGCTTGTGTATTTGTCCTCTCTTCTAATATTGAAGAGGCTTTTAAGACTGCTGTGATACTAATCAGCTGACAGATGTTGACTAGGTAGTAAAGATTTTTATCTAACATCCTTTTTGTGTTCTTTCATCTCTTGATCAGCTGTAATTAGCAAGGGGATTTGAAGTACTGGAAGGGTACTGCAGTGGTTAGATTTAGAGGCATCCATGTTGCAGGGATAAATGAGAGAGACTTGGAATGATTTCAGTTGATGTTGGCAGACTTGGAATTTCTCTTCGACTTGATCAGCAGGACTTAAATCTGCTATGCAAAACAAGTTGACGGCTTAAAGTGACAGAGAGTTGCTGTGAGGGAATGTAAGAGATAGAAGATTGGAGGCTGCATCCTTATGCATCTCCAGTAATATTTATAGAATCATAGAATCACAAGCTTGGAAATGACCTGCAAGATCATCCAGTCCAACCGTTACCATTGCTGCCACAAACTAAACCATATCTCATAGCTCCTAATCCAGGCGCCTCTTGAACACTGCCATGGACGGCAACTCCACCACCTCCCTGGGCAGCCATTCCAGTCCTTGATCACTATCTGAGAGAAAAAGTTTTTCCTTATGTCTCATCAAAACCTTTTCTGGTACAACTTGTAGCCAGTTTCCTCAGGTCCTGTTTGTTGCCTGGGAGAAGAGGCCAAACCCCTCCTCATCACAACCTCCCTTCGGGAAGTTGTAGAGTGCAATGAGGTCTCCCCTGAGCCTCCTTTTCTCCAGACTAAATAATTCCAGCACCCTCAGACACTCCTCATAAGATTTGTAGAAGATTTGTAAAGAATCATAAAGTCCTTAAAGTTGTAAGAGACTTCTGAACGCCATCTAGTCCAGCTCCCCTGTAGTGAATCCACAGCTAGATCAGGTTGCCTAATTACTAAATTAATAACTAAAAATCAGCAAAGTGAATTCTGTTCCTGAAGAGCCACTCTTAACAACAGTATGTTTGCAGTTTTTCTTCATCACGGGTTGACAGTGAAGCTGTCAGAACAGTTGTGGAAACATCCATTTGTCATCCCTGAACAGGAATATGTAATGGGCAGGGGAGCTTGGTTCAGCAGGAGTCAAGCAGGAGACCAGTGTGAAATCCAAGGTACTACTGTAGAGTTGACACACCAGTAAGTTGCTGAGGTTCACATTCTGTAAGCAAAGTTGTGTGTATTTCTTCATATGGTATTTAAAAGCAACAACTGTTACCAAAATAGCTGCTTTATAATTAGAAGGCAGTAATCGACCTTAAAAATTTGTATTGCACTTCACTTCTGTCATGCTGTATGCATGTGAAGCCTGGGCTAGAGAAATATACTTTCTGGGAAGCAAATGATTAGCATAAATTTAGTACGCATTTGGAAGTTCAAGCCAGAGCATAGGGAGAGTTGGCAGTAGTGCAGCCAAAGCTCTCCCTGGTAGCTGAACAACAGAAAACTGGCAAGTCAGGCGTCTTAGCTGTCAATAGGAGACGTGGGATAGGTCAGTGGAAAATCTTCTGTCACTACAAGTCAAGACTGATAAACACTGGTTTGTAAGGGGTGAAGATATTGTGCTAGAAGGCCTCCAGAGTAGTAGACAGTGTTATTTTAACTGATTTTCAGCACTTTACATACTTTGTATTAGAGAAGCAGGATTCTCTTAGAATTGTCTTAGAGCATCATCACTTGCTTTCTTACAACACAAAGAATGGAGTATATTCCTCTGTTTCTGGATACTTCTTGGCTGATTATCTGAATCCTGTGACAGAATCTGTGAAAAGCATGGAGGAGCAGTGATGGAGCTAGTGCTTAAGAATAAGAATTTAAGTTGTGGATGCCCAGTCCCTGGAGGCATTCAGGGCTAGGCTGATGTGGCTCTGGGCAGCTTGGTCTGGTGGTTGGCAACCCTGCACATAGCAGGGGGTTTGAAACTGGATGATCTTTGAGGTCCTTTTCAACCCAGGCCATTCTATGATTCTGTGAAGAATAATGCTTAGGACTCCAGGGAGCCTTGTATATTATGATTTGTCATGATCCTTTCTAGGAAGAAGTTGAAGCTTCATCATGAAAGATGGAAAAAAGTAAATGGCCATTAGCTGTACACTTCCCACAAAAGAGTGTAATTCCCTTTTCTTTGCCCTGTGGAATTGCTTTTCTTAAGTATGGTGTTGTAAGAGTCTTCCTGAGAATGAAACATAATGGAGAAGATTTAGGCGGTGCTTGCACAGACGTTGTAACTGGGAATGTAAATGGAGATAAGGAATGTGATGTTAGAGTACTCTGTTGTCAGAGGAGTGAAAACTTAAATGAAAAATTTAGGTTTAGGTTTAGGAAAAAGTACTAATATTTTTCTTGAGTACTTGGATTTTGATGTAGCTTTGATTTATTGCACATGGCTCTCTTCTATTGATGAAGGAGAACACAGCTTGTGTAGTTCTTCAGCTTTAAATTATAATCTTTCAGACTTATTGGGATAGATGAGCTGTTGGTAACAGAGATGTTCTCTGCCACTTTTATCCGATAAGCCAGAAAATTGTTGCCTAGACTCCTGTGGCTATTTGTAGATATACACATGGTGTATATGTTCACAAGTGTGATGAAATTCTGTGTGTGAAAGGGGGAGAAGAAACATCCTGCTAGAAACAACCTGCTGCTGGCTTCTATTTGTCTGAGATCTACTGTTTATGACTTACTGCTTGCATTTTATCACCTAAAATGTATTTTTAAAACCACTTGTCTGTTATCTCAGTTGTTTTGGAATCTTTGTTAGACACATTATCTCTTCAGCCTTACAGAAAGACTATTTTCTTCCTGTCACATCTGGTTCTGTCAGCTGGAATCTCAGGATCAGTAGGAAGAGAAATCTCCGTAAAATATTTGCAGAGTGTAGCACAGCTATAGCATGTTGTATGCTAACTGTTGCTTTAACTTGCATGTGAAACTGTTTTCTGTCTGGATTTTGTTTCCACTGCCCTCCTACTATTTGAGTGGTTGTAAAAGCTACCATATCTATGCTGAAGTTCAAAGTATGGTAGCTTTGTTCTAGTCCAACACACTGCATATAAACAAATGCCTCTTCCTCTTCTGTTCCCAGACATACTAAATCTGTGTACTTCATATTATGAGGAACTTTGTTCAGTGACTGTAGGTGCTTTAACAGAGACTTCTGGGAGAAATCTGTTAGCTGTCTCTCTAAATGCAGTTGTTCTCTTGCCTTTCAGCAATTCCAGTCCGAAGCTCCAGGCTGCCACTGTTATCTGATGCCATGCCAGCACCAACTCATCTGTTCCCATTGATTCGTAACTGTGAGATTAGCAGAATATGCAGTACTATGTGCTACTGCCACCATAAACATCTGTGTTGTTTATCGTCTCATTTTGCTCACGGTCACTTCAGATATGCACCTCAGAAGAAATTTGCAGCACTCTATAGGCCAAAGGAGAACTTCTATCAGTTTATTCACGCGAGGGATTATGCTTCTACACCACAGAGGTTTTACCTCACTCCTCCGCAGGTCAACAGCATTCTGAAGGCAAATGAATACAGTTTTAAAGTCCCAGAGTTTGATGGTAAAAATGTAAGTTCTGTCCTTGGCTTTGACAGCAACCAGTTGCCTGCTAATGCTCCAATAGAAGACCGGAGGAGTGCTGCCACTTGCTTACAGACAAGAGGGATGCTTCTGGGTGTGTTTGATGGCCATGCAGGTTGTGCTTGTGCTCAAGCTGTCAGTGAAAGACTGTTTTACTACATTGCTGTCTCCTTGTTACCTCATGAGACTTTACTTGAAATAGAAAATGCTGTGGAAAGTGGTAGAGCCCTCTTACCTATTTTACAGTGGCACAAGCACCCCAATGATTACTTCAGCAAAGAAGCTTCCAAGCTTTATTTCAACAGTTTAAGAACTTACTGGCAGGAGCTCATTGATCTCAATAGTGGAGAGACTACAGATGTGAAAGAGGCTTTAGTTAATGCTTTTAAGAGGCTCGATAACGATATTTCTCTGGAAGCTCAAGTAGGAGACCCAAATTCTTTTCTCAACTACTTAGTACTAAGAGTAGCGTTTTCTGGTGCAACGGCCTGTGTAGCCCATGTGGATGGTGTTGACTTGCACGTGGCAAACACAGGAGACAGTAGGGCCATGCTTGGAGTTCAGGAGGAGGATGGATCTTGGTCTGCAGTTAATCTCTCCTATGACCACAATGCGCAAAATGAACGTGAAGTGGAACGTGTGAAAACAGAGCATCCAAAGTCTGAAGAAAAAAGCCTTGTGAAACAAGATCGTCTCTTAGGCCTTCTGATGCCTTTCAGAGCTTTTGGTGACGTGAAGTTTAAGTGGAGTATTGAACTGCAGAAGAGAGTAGTTGAATCGGGCCCAGATCAGCTAAATGACAATGAATATACAAAGTTTATTCCTCCAAATTATCACACTCCACCATACCTCACAGCTGAACCAGAAGTCATACATCACAAGTTAAGGCCACAGGATAAGTTTTTGGTTTTGGCCACGGATGGGCTGTGGGAAACTATGCACAGGCAAGATGTGGCTAGAATTGTTGGGGAGTATCTCACCGGTGTTCACCATCAAGAGCCGATAGCTGTCGGTGGTTATAAGGTAACTCTGGGACAGATGCACGGTCTCTTAACAGAAAGAAGAGCAAAAATCTCTTCAGTTTTTGAAGATCAGAATGCAGCAACTCACCTGATACGCCACGCAGTGGGCAATAACGAGTTTGGCACTGTGGATCACGAGCGGCTGTCCAAGATGCTCAGTCTTCCAGAAGAGCTGGCTCGAATGTATAGAGATGACATCACAATTATCGTGGTGCAGTTCAACTCGCATGTTATAGGTGCATATCAGAATGGGGAACTGTGAATTTTAATGTAGTGAACTACTTACCAAAGCTGTAACAATGGCCAGTATGAGCAGCAGATGGGAAAAAGACAAATTCAATAAGCAAAGAAATTTCTTGCTTGCTAGATTTAATGTATCTATTGTTTCTGCCTTCCCCCAGAGCTCTAAATACAGGAGAAGTGCTATTGACCTAATATAAACTTGAAGAGGATGTCTGGGAAAAGAGGTTTCTGTAATAACTTTGCACTATTGATTTCATGAATGCTGCTAGAACAATGCCTTGAATTTGGCAGATCTGGATGAGGGAGGGAAGGAGGATAAAGGATTAAATATCAAGCATCTGGTTGTTCAAGAAAAAGCCTGTTAACATCTGAAAATATTCACACTCATTTTTTAAGAGTAACAAGGAATATTGTTGCAAGAATTCTCCCTGTAGGAATTCAAAATAAGTGTGGTTACCTGTGAGTATATTCTGTCAGCCTTTTCCTCTGAATAGGAGGATAACCATGTAGTTCTTCAGTGTAACAAAGTTGTCTTGCTCTCATATAGACAATGTCATTCACTTAAGAATATTTGTTTAAGTGTTGACTTTCAATGCAGGTCTAAGCCATAATCAGTACTTGAGATTCTGTTATTGCTTAATTGTATCCTATACACAGTAACTTCTAAGTGTCCGTGCATCAGTTGCTTCTTGGCTTGTAGGTTCTTGCACAACTTGTGGGGCAATAATACATTACAACGTGCAGTAAGATATCAAGTAAAGTTGTGGAGGACCTCGGTGTGAAGAAAGTTTCAGACTCTTTAGAGAGTCAGCGTTGCTGGTCAAGACCATTGTGTTTCCTAAAGGTCATGTTCTTTATGGACTCCATCCCTGTCTGGTGTTTCTTATCTAGGAGGATAAATTTTCACCTGAGAAGATCAGGAAATCATTGCTAACCTCATTGTGGCTTTGTAATTTGCACTCATTTTCTTTGGCTATTTCAAATAGTGACGTATTGGATGTTTTGCACTTGAACACATATTTGTAAGTATGTCAGGTTGAAAACTACAGATTACAAAATGAAGTATGGTTTGTAAGTAGAATTTCAGTTGGGGAAGCCAACTGGCATGCATGTATATGTTTAATGGCTTTTTCTAGCAACTTTATTAGCAGCTTTTTATCTCTGGACAGCTGGTGTATGCATGTTCTTACAGTCCAGAATGTATTATCACAGCAGTCTCTTGGATGAGTCTCTCTGGCTTGTGGTTGAATTTGAACTTACAAGGTAGTGTCCTGGGCTGTAACTTGTGTGCCTAAAGTTGTTGGGCTCATAACTGTAAAAAGTGGGAACTGACAACTAATCTAATGATCATCTTTGCATCTGTTTTAGGTATGTTGCATTGTGTAGCTTACTCTTCAGCTGCCCTTACTTCAAAAACCCAAGTGCTATCTGAAATACCAGTCCCTGATGACTGATAGAACACTTGTAACTTGATTCCTGTGTTCTGGATAAACTCTTAAGCAGTGGTAGGTCAGCATATTTGATTTCATGGAGGTGTTTCAGTTAAAATAACTTCCTAGCCTTCAACACAGCAATTAAACAAACAAGCAAAAAAATTAAAAACCTAGCTTACTTTGAGTAATGTGCCATTTTCCACTAACTAAAAATATTGCCAGTTAAAGCTACTATTACATACAGGATATTTAATACTGACAGTGATCCTGTGCTGTAGTAACATTGGGTCCTCAAATGCAGAAGTGCTGTGTGTACCTAGTGGCCTGCAGCTTTAACATGTCTGCTTATTTACCCAACTTTAAAAAACAAAAACAAAAAAAAACAACTTTGCAATAAGGTTATTGATATCTGAAGTTCACATTGAAGATGTGAACAACCCTTCTTTATTTGAAGGGGAATGGGGAACTCTAAAATGCTTAGACTAGTACTGGCTTTTGACATTGCTTCTATGTTGTCTTCTGGTGACTATCATTAGCTAGGTCAATAGACTTTGTTCTTCTATCATTCAAATACAGTATGTATCTAAGCTGTTACAGTATTTAACTTTCCTACTTTTTTTTTTTTTTTACTGTTAAATCTCTATTACATGTATTGATGTGTTTAACCTATGTTTCTTGATATGGATCTGGGACAAGTCATGGCTGGAAGGACTGACTGTTGGTTCCATGTATAGAACTTTTATTGAGGAGAAGCTGCTTTTTGTAGTAAAGATGCGTATGTATGGGGTCAGACAATAGTATTTATGTGTTGCTTGGAAACTTGCTCAGTATGTATGCAGTGAATAGAAATAGCATAACTGCCTGCTGAACAGGTGATCTGAACAAACATTTTAATAGATTCCAATAAAATGATCAATTATGCAGAAATCTGTCTGTATTTGGTTGATACAGAAAGCAATGGCTGTTTTCCTTAAAGCTTGTGAAACGACTTGGTTCTCAGAAATGCTTTCCATCATCTAGTCACTGTTATGTTAGACCAGATGGCCTAACGAAGCAATGTGCAAATGGAAACAAGCTGGGAACTGGGCTTCAAAGCTTTGAAATGTCACTGTGAGGCTTGAACCCTGTATCAGGCATGCTGGTTCTGCTGCCCCCTGGCAGTGAAGCTTGTATGTTTCCCTGTCAGTATCTCCTGAGTGTTCCTGTATCAGTTTGCCTTGCCTCATCATCCCCTGTGGGGAGAGGGCATTAAAGGCTGCAGATTAAGCAGTCTACAACAGTGTACTGCCTAATCTGTCATCAGTAATTTGTGGACTGTATTCTGTACAGAACAACAAAATGATTTCATACACACAGGTTCAAATGTCCTAAAAATAAGTTGTTAGTAAACTAAATAGGAACATCTTTTATACCATTGGCAGAGGATGTGTTTTGTTGCACTGCAGAAAGTACTGCAAGTGTATGGCTTAACCAAGAAGGATGGCTGAAGTTTGACAACACAAGCTTTCAAGTTCACCTTCAAGCTATCTTTAAATTCTTTATAGATGATTATTAGATGACTTCAACAACTGTTTAACAGTAGTAATCCTAGGTAAGAGGTGAGTGGGAAATCTTCATCGGGTCTGTTTTCAGTTTAAGGTTTTAACTGTGCTACCATTTCTTTTTTTTAAAGAGTACTGCTATGTGTATTATAAAATACTGTCAAAAACAAATGCAGCATGTTGCAGCAGTTACTGTTAGAGCCTTCATGTTCTTAATTTGCATTCTATATGCAGAATTTGATGAGCACTGAACTCTGTAATTTTCTGCTTGTTTCCTTATCAGAGGGTGGAGTTTGGCATTCAGAACTCTTAAAACATGACACATGCAGTGAGGAGTATAGTTCCATCATGAAATCCTGTTTATAGCTGAACTCCCAGTCTTGGGTTTCTGTACTTTGAACAACCTTGGAGCGAAGGATATTGGGTGACTGCTTTCAGTACATATGCTTAAAATGGTTAGGTTACTCTTTCCTCTCTGGGAAGGTACAGCTGTAATGAGATTACCTGGCATGGATGGAGATGCAGGTTTTCAGTCCTACCCTACACCATCAGCTCACCGATGGAGATGGTCTGTCTGCTTTCATGACTTCTAATAAATGCATGCCTCCTGATTTGCACCAGTGATCTTTACGAGCATGAGTGCTGAATGCTGTCATCATTGCTGCTACTCAGCAGCTCAAGAACAGGACTGGCACAAGGCATTTGGGTGTGCCAAGGGAATAATTATTCTAGCAGATACTGTGGGTGGCATGAGAAGTAACTCTTCCAGCCTGCCAATTGCACACTGCAGGCTGATACAGCATCTTGCTGTGTGGGACAATGAAGTTAGGTTCAACTTACCAAAATGAGCTTAAGTGATTGTCAATCTGCAACCTCCTGAGAGGTCCTTCGAGTACATTAGTACTGGTTTTGTAGACACTTTTTTTCCTATTATGTTCAGAGGCTCAAGTATGGAAGTTAATAAAATACTTCATTGTTGTGTTTTGGTTCCTGTGTGAAAACAAAGGTGCTTTAAATGAGGTGGGCTTCAGAATGGATGTGTCTGTGCTTTCAAGTGCTGGGTTAATTGATTCATCCTTTTCCCCCCTCTGTTTTAATTTGAAAGCTCTCCTTTTCCAAATGCTTTTCAGGATCCTGCTTCCTATTGCTTTGCTTCTTATTCAACAATGAATGGAGGATGTTTGTGTTTTTCCTAGCACCAAGTATTTAATGTCTACCTCTAGATATTTGTGCAGTAAAAAGACTTAGTAATGTGTTTGGATTGAATTATTCATCCAGAACTTTTAATCGTTCTGTGAACAGGTAGGTGTCTCTTTGTCAGGAGTGGTATCAACTATAATCATGCAAACTTGTTACGAGAATATTCTGAGAACTTGATTTTTCCAAATCTTGTTTGGGAGTTCTTTTAGGTTAATCCCTGCTAATTAGTGAGCGGTTGGAAATTAACTACATAAATGTTCTATCAAATACCTGTTCAGTGAAGGAAGCCTGTAGGTTCACTTTTTTCTCTTCTCCTAATGATCTCCTAATGAGCTAGGCATTAAATATTGATGACTGATTTCACTTGCTGTCTTATGGAAAGCCAAGTGTGACGCTTGTTCCCGGGTTGCTCTTATCATTTTAAAGTGTGTTCTTGTGGGAACGGAAGAAAATACATGTTTCTTTGATTTGGCTTGCCATCTGTGTGAATATACTGAACATCAGTTGTGCATAGTGTTTCAGTGATAGAAAAATCAGAAGAACTGAACTCCAAGTCCTCTTGGCAGAATAAAGAAGTAATAAATTCCCTACCACATTAATTTGATGATAAATCCAGATTGTATTTGTGGTACAGTAGATGAGACCATCCTCATGAGGATTATGCCTTCTGTTTTATTTTTGCTCATATGTATATTTTAATAATAGATTGGGTAGTAGGGAGGGTTAACCTTCTAACCTTCACAATTGGATCACAAATGAGCATGAGTTTGCGGTAGCATTGTGTGGTGAAAACAAAAGCAATCTGAGATAGATAAGTGGTTGTCTGTTCTCATCTGTGCTGCAGGGCTTTGGCATTAAAACCGTGTCTCATGCACTGATGTCAGTGAGCAAGTCTTCTGGGGGAAATAATGCATTCATTGCAAATGACTCATCTAATCACTTGTGAAACTGTCCAGGATTACATCAAACGCAGCATGAGGAAGTACAAATTCAAGTTCTAGTCTATTCAAATTCAAAGTCTAGCATAATTGACCACTGCTGAACTCATGTAGCATCATGAGCAAATAGTTCAGTTTTAATATCCTTTGTCCGTACTTAAGGGTAGCATTTGCTAGTGCCTCGCATTGTAATTGCAAAATTAATCCAGTTAGGTCTGTCTGTTTGCAGTGTCACATGCCTTACAGCTAGCTTTCAGAACAGGGAAACAATGAAAAACAAGGAAATCAGTGATGTTAACAGGAAGGCACCCCGTGAGTTGGCACAGCCCTGCCTGTTCAAACGCTTGAAGTTCATGAATTGAGGCAGCTCCCTATGAGTTTTGTCTGACAGAACTGTTTTAAATTTATAGTAAAAGTCATCTTATTCACATGCAGATAATTCCATTCAGGTGTTCTGGAGGCAAAGCCTAACCTTCCTTTCCAGAATCTTCAAGGATACAGTCACTCTGCAGTTCTTGCATTTGCCCATACTGTACAACAACTAAAATATCTAAGATTTTTGAATTCAGTTTTGCACATAACGCACCTGCGAATATTTTATTTTTGTCCATTGGTCCACTGGGTAACTGGAAGCGCCTGTCTTGCCTACCATCTTCTTTGTATTCATATGTTAACCTACACAGTAAGCATATAGAATAAGGTTATCGTCCTTGTTCTTCTGCTAAAAATCTCACTTGTAAGAATTAACACCTACATAGAGAAGATGATTCTTATGCATAGTTCACTTTTCCCTATCTGAAGAGGAAATAAAAAATCCAGAATGGTAAAGAAAATGCCTTGTACTGAAACATCCTGGTTGGTGAATGGATAAAGTATGAGTAATAATTAGGGGAATAAAAACCATTAGCTGTGGTTAATAATACAGAAGTGAGTCTTCTAGTAGGGAGCCTTGCAGAAATGTAGTGTAGCAGTGGAAGAAGTATTGCCAGTGAATCTGATCTGGAAGCAGACAGTGAAGTGCAATTAATTGCTTAGCAAACATTGAAGTGGAAGTCTGAGAAACTGTCTAGCAGTTAAGTATTAAGTCTTTCTGACAAGGTAGATGACAGTATTTATTTTTCACTGTTTGGACCACGTTTCTGTAACTTTAAGTGAATTCATCTCATTCCTCTCGAAGCAGGTTAAAAAGAATCCAGAGATGCTCATTTCTTGCATTTGAGGAATATTACAGATTACTGCCCCTGATGCTTTGTCAAGAGTAGGTAAGAAATTTGTAAAAATACAATGGACGATGAAGTACAAGGAGAGAAAGGAATAGAAAAGTAGGTCCCCAAAATAGTGAATGCCTCCCTCTTTCCAAGTTGATAGTCAGCAAGCATTCAAGATAACATTACTTGCATTTTTAAAGAAACCTTAGCAAATGATATTTTATGAAGGAGAAATACTTGAGCTACAACAACAGTTTGAACACTTAGAATATGTCATTGAGTTTGTTCAAAGACAATTTGAACTTTGATGTCTTCTGATTTTGTTAACCTGCATAAAAATAGAAATATCAGAGTGCTATGTGCCCTCTTTCCTGGTGCAGGTTCTTGTGGAAGCCTTTGAGGCATGTCACAGCTGTGAGATTAAAAGTTCAGTCCTGAAGTCAGAGTCATGAAACTCCCTTTGATATGAGATCAAGCCTTCCAGTGTACTGACAGGAAGGGTTCTTGAAAGCTCTGCCTGATTCAGTGCCTCAAAACATTACACAAGATCTGTTTGTCTAATGAGAGACGGAGAAAGCACAACATAATTGCTAAGGCAATGAATGAAATAGCAGTAAATATTTAGATGACTTCAGAAAAACAGGAGAATGTGTGGTTTTTCAATAGTACACAGAATTACAGAGAAAGTGAGTCCTAAAAAGATCAGAATAAATTAGGTAAATCTAAGGGGAGAAATAATGTAATAGTGTGTTTCTGAGGCTGAAATTGCACACATGAAACTAAACAAAGCACAGGTTTTGTTCTCTAATGAGGCTCACTTTCCCACTTTTATCTCCAAAGGTGAAAACAAAGGTGAGTCAATAGGACAAATTCATGAATGGGGACGGTCACCTGCCTCTTCCTGCTGGCTACCTCTCTTCTGATGGAGCCTAGAACACAGTTGGCCTTCTGGACTGCAGGTGCACACTGCTGGACCCCCAACTCTCAATGTAAGGCTATTCTCTGTGAATTCTTCCAGTCTGTACTCATATCTGGGATAA